ATGCCTGCCAACTGCTCGACAAAACGCCACAACCACCATAACAATAAAACCAACTACATCTCCCCCAAATTCGCACAAATCAATCCATTTTCTCATCCAATTCAAAAAAACAAGTAAAAAATGTATATTTTCTTCATCTGCGTCCTCCTCCTCGCCTGACGTCCTCCTTTTCAGAACCGTTTTCTGATTCTTCTCTCTGTTCTTGTGCTGTCGTCGTCTCCTCTGCCTCTGAACCACCTTCACTCATCGGATGATCCACCGAAGCGTCTTCTTTGACAGCTATTGAACTGTTGGCGACGCCGAAGTTTAGGATTCGAAGTGGGGTTGGGTTTTCCTCCTCTTTGTGAATGTCAGCCATGGTTTTGTGTAAGAAAGCTTTAGGATTGAAAATTTGCCAGAATTTAGGCACTGTAGTCGTTGGAAATCGCAAAGAAACAAATAGTGTTCATCGGTCGTTTTTTGGGTATATGGCTCGATTAAACGATTTTGAAAGGTGGGGGCTCGTTTTCAAATTTCAAAATTTAAACAACTTTCGTTAATTAGATTTTACTCACATATGTTTAAATATTTTTAGTTTAACCCATTTTACATGTTTAATGAATCTTAAGTGTGTCACGTGAGCTTTTCTAAATTAAAAAAAAAAAAAAATTCAAAAATATTTTTAGGGTCATTTTTTTAAATGCAAGCTTGGGATGTCCAGGGAGTTAAATAGATTTTTAATTAATTTATTGTTAAATTTTTTTTTTAAGGGTGATTGAATTTATATGGAAAACTAATTCCATAAAACCCCATCCATACAGGAATAGTTGAAAAGACCATTGTTTCATACATTGGAGATCTCCGTACCTAATTAGCCATAACTAACATTCCAAAGCAATGTATTATGTATTAATAATAATATACATACATAGTTCTCATGCATGTTTGCTTCTGTGTGAAGCTTGTTTTTTCTTCTTTTTAGTTTAATATATTTTCTTTGTAGTTGTCTAAGAGTAAAATATAAGACTAGCGAAATCTCTACCAGTAAGGAAATGATTTTAACAGATAGCTATACCGGAATGAATTAACCAAGCTATTGTTATTAGCAGCAATCAAAGGTACAGCCATACTATGATCAATCCCAATAAAAAGTGCCAATTGAAATTCTACAATTATACTTATTAAGTAATAGATTATCAAAGAAACATGGACTAACTTTCGCAACTTCATACCATGATCCAACTAGTCCTCTTTCTTGCCATAGAATCGCAAAGCAAATGCTATACCCAAGATCAACAGTGGTACCAGGAATTGCATAATCTTCAATGCAAATCCGGAGTCATCAGGTCTATGCGCTACTTGCTGAGGTGGCTTGTACTTCTTTCTTGGTGGAACACTGGTGCTATCAAGGTCACCAATATAGTATTTTTCCATCATTTCTTTAGCAGAATCGCTGTGGCCCACATCTTCAAAGTCCTCTGTTGCATCTTTCTCTGCAAAATTTAAGATACCAGAAAGCAATGAAACGAAGTAATCAATGGGTGAGGTTTGTACAACCTAGGCAATGCAACAATCTTACCAGTAACAGCTAGCAAGACTTCGTCACCCCCAGGATGATCTTCAAGAAATGAAGTCACATCATACACCTGATACAACAGTTTGAGGTTGATACACTAGTTTATCAATTACTTGAATCATTTAAAGGTACCAAAAGACCCTCTTAGTAATTTGTATCTTCAAACTGTTACAGATATACCACTAACAAGCATAATAAAATTAACGAAGAAAAACATTCAAAGAGATTAGAACAAGCTTCGCAATTCCTCATTCAGCTTTTACTTTTGTTGATTTGGGTATATAGTTCCTTCGCAATTGAAAAGCTACTGAATTAATCTTGGAGTCATTGTGCATGATGTCAAAGTTTTGAAGTATATACTTTGAGTTTTAAAGTAAAAATTTGTGCAAATTTAAGCAATTATAACTAGAAGCCCTTCAACAAACAACCATAGGTAATTTCACAATCAATATGGAATTCTTATTAATATGTCTCCAAAAGTTAACTTTCCAGAATAAGAAAAGCATTCTTAAGACTGGAGTTTATTGTATAAGCTTGTTACTAAATATTTTGTTAAAAAATATTATGAGTAGCACGAGAATTTTGATTGCAAGTCATAACAATAAAGGAAAATAGAAAATCTAAAAAACATTTGACAGAAGCACCCAGGATCAAACATTTGTATAAGCATCAACAAGAAAACTCTCTTCAATTTCGATGTAGAGAACTCAAAACCAGTACATTCAAGGAAGATATGTAACCACTTTCCTACTTTTTACTCCACTTAAAATTTTATAACCTATCTAATACCTCTTACTTACAAACCTCCACCAAACAAGAATTATAACCTATCTAATACCTCTTACTTACAAACCTCCACCAAACAAGAATTTCTGCTACAAAAGCAGTAAGTAGTCTCGGGCCTGTTGGCTCTGTGCCAAATGATACAAATTGCTGTGGCATGACTGAAAATTAACAAAATTATTTTTTACGGATCTTAATCCCTAAATAATCCAAATATTGAATCAAATCAAATCATAAATACAGTTCATCTAAATCCAATTACAGAACACTGTTTTTTTTCTTTTTAACAAATAAACAATCCACAAAATCAATATAAATTATAGCTAAGCAAAAGACTGATACATAAGAACAAGTTAGATGAATTAACCTTTCCAAAGATTGCAAGCCAGCAATCATCCCTCTCTTTGTGTTTTGCTACCTCTTCGAACTTAATAACTCTGGCCATTTCTGCAATTGCAGCTACTGTTAAGGTCAAACCCTGGCAAACCTATCCAAAAACACAAGATCCAACAAATGACCCAAAACCCATCAAGTTTAAAGCTATATTTTGTGCGAAAGATCAGCTGAAAAAGCATTGTTTATCCTTACAGGAGATGGAGAAGAGGCCCGATATCCGCTCCTTGTCTGATTTATCTTCCCCTTTCCTCTTAGTTTGCATTTTAAGCTCCGTATCTACTCCGTTAATTTTGTTGTTACCAACATTATTTATTAATAATTTATTATTAGCAATGCCATGCCATTGTAGACAAAAAAACGAAGGCTAGAATAGTCATTTCTTGTAAATTTTGTATAATTTTTATCTGTTTATGCTAGTGATACAAACATTAAAAAAAAAAAAAAAAAGGTTATAATAGTCATTTCATATAAATTTTGTATAAGTTTTATCCATTTATGCGAGTGGTAAGTAAAACATTATTGATTTATTATTACATGATAATTTATTATTATATGTAATAATTTAAAGAGTAACACTACACTTATAATTTTTTCATACAACTCTAATGTGACAATTTGCGATTGGTTAGTTCACAATGAGTCTCATCTTTCCAAATACAAACTGACCAATCGTGAATTGTCACATTCAGATTATATAAAAAAATTGTAAGTATAGTTTTATTGAATTGAAAATGGTATAATTTTAAAATAGAGCAATGTTATGCTTATAACTGAGTTGTACAATTGAGTCATACAAACAGACAAAAAACAAAGGACAAATAGTCATTTTAAATACTAGTAATACTAGATGTACAAACAAATCTTATAAAGATTTGTGTACAAACTAATGTAGTACAAAATGAATGGAAGAGTGAATATAAACTGATGTGACTTTTTGTATTCACTCTTCCATTCATTTTGTGTCACATCAGTTTATACATAAATCTTTGTAAGATTTGTTTGTACATCTAGCATTATTGTTTTCAATTTTTTAGCTTATAATATAAATTTGATTTATGAAAAAAAAAAAAAATTATGTGGGACAGTAATCATATATTCCATGTTTGGTAAGACAAAAATACTATAGTGTGACTTCATAATTAAATTTAATAATGTCTTAATTATTTAAAAGAACATTGGTATATAGGTAGAATTATTTAAGTGTAAGATTTGCCAACTCTTAATCTAAGAATAATTTACCATCTTTAAATTTTATTGAATTTGGTTATTATTATTTTTTAATTTCAAGTTTTACTTCTATAAGAAATAATTAATTTATTAATTAGACAACTCAGCCAATTAATTAATAAACGAAACTATAGATAAACATTTGATATTGACGAAACATATTATCAATTCATTAAGACCTTAGGATGTGGGTAGCATAAATTCAATAGTAAATTTATCTTTTTTTCCGAATAAGTTAATAGTTCAAACACTTAAACTAAGTGAAAATAAGTTTCACAACATCCGGGTTGATTAAGACCTTAAAACTTGATAATTATTCAATCAGTTTAGAACACTGTATACACCCTTTAGCCAGATGACGTCAAACCAACAACTTACAATAATCCAATGTAGGCTCCATCTTTCAACACACCTCTCCCATCATCTTTCCTTGAATTATTAAGACGAAGAAAGTTGTAACACAATTAAAAGGAAAACTAATTCTTCACACCCTAAAGTTAATAATAGGATAAACTTTCAATGATCACCTCTATTAAAAGGAGATGAATCAAATTTATGAATAATATACTCAAGAGTCTTAGTTGACCAATCAACCACCCAATGATGGTTTTCTTATGCTAATTTCACTTATAATAAAAACCTTATCTTTCGAAATTATATATGAATTTTGAATAAGGATTCCACCCCATATTAATCAAATGAAGTTACCCAACCTTTGGTTGATTGATGAAAAGTCTTTTTCTTTTTCTTTGACTTTGACGTTACTACTATACTCTCTCTCTCCCTCACATTAATTATTCTCCGTCCAATTCCTTTAAACATAAAAATGATATTGACCATTTCAAGGGGTTAAAAGGCATCTCAATGCAACATTTGTACATGTATTTGGAGGTGAAAAGGGGTATTAATGGGCATGAAAAATCAAAGAACAAAACATTGTATGACAATTGATGTGGTTATAGAATAAGAGCACAGACAAAGTTGGTTTTTAGCTGTTAAATAAGAATAAAAGTTGGAGGTCCATCATCAACACGCGAACTGTTAAAGTGCAATATATAAATTGGCTTAAGGAGATGCATCATATATATTGTCAAAACATAAACCAATTAAAGCCTGTTAATAATGTTGCGACAAACATACACGCAACGTACAGACACTAAAACCAAAACAATAGAAAAATAAATTACAAAGCAGAACACAGTGCTCCATGTGCACAAACCTGATTAACATTATTCTCCATTAAAAAATTATTTAATACTTAAACAATACCCGAAAGCATTCTAGTAAACTATGTCAAACATGCACCCAAAAGCTCAAACTGTAGCATCTGCAGGAACGAGGTGTCCAAAAATCAGTAAAATTGTATTGGAAGCAGAAGACGAAAAGTTTAGAATGCTTCATGCATATGCATGATGATGATGATGATGATTGGTAGAATGATAGGGAAAATTATAGTGGGTATTGGTCCCTACCTATCGTTTGGGAGACATGGGCAGGCCAGCGTTGGAAAGGAGATTATCATGGGCCAGAGATCATCACCATTTGGTATGTGATTAATTGACAGCTTTTTAGTTGTATCTATCTTTCGAGTTATTTTCTAAAAGGGACCCATTACTACTATTCGATTAGTATCATATTTGTGTGGGTAGTAACAATAAGGACAGCTTCAGCTTCTCATCCTGTCCACCCACCTTCACACCACCATGGATTTATACTATTAGTGTTTGAGTAAAATATTAGTAGCTGTTAGAAACCCTACATATATATAAGCCAAGAAGAAGAACAATAGGAACCACTAGCTAGTAATCTACCGTGATCATATCGTGTGAATTGAATTATGATGATAATCAGTTATGTGCCCAAGAACAAAGAATTGAGTCATTTATCCAAACACATCTTTGATGAGCAGTTGGCAAGGGTCATTTTCCTATCGTTACTTTTACCTATTCTTCGATTTGGTCATCTTTTGTTGTTATTTTGTTCACAGTCAAACAATGGGCCAGAGAAAATTGGGAATTAGGTCCCATATTAAAGGAATTAATGAGGCGAAATGCAGCACACAATAATAATAATAATCTGACCATGGTGATGAATTTTTTTGTCGCAAATCCAATGATTGGATGTTCAGGATAAGACTAGGCATTTGTTTCAAATTATATAACCATGCAGATTGGATGCCAGGTTATTTGATTATGTTAATGCACCTGAAAATATTTATGGAGAACTAACTATAACACAGATTATGTGGTCAAACATGGCAGCACTACAGGTTACTGTATGTGATGTGAGGTTTAAAAAAGATTAATGTAAAACAAACCAGATAAATTTTAAAAGATACCTGGAACCGGAAGTAACGAAACCGATTCAACATTTTCGTTCTTCTTGCCAAGAAGGTCAAGAACGCTACCCTTGTTTTGACCTTCTGATTTATTAGCTTTGCCTTCAAGCTCTGGATGGATCTTCCTCTTTAACATCCTCCTCATCATCTGATCATCAGAAAATTAATATGCAAATTACCATCTAATTAATGTTTCATTGCAACTAAAATTACCAATTCAAATTAATATATAAATATATATATGTAATAAAGTCGTTTCTTAAATATTTGTACAGTTCCATCTTTTACGAAGAAGACACATGCATGTGTACACAAAAGGAAAAAGGAGTATTACTCACTTGGTGTAATTTCTTGATGGGACGTGAATCCTCTTTAACATGAGGAATGAATTTCTTAGCAAAGGAGAGGCCATTCTTTGTACGAACAGATTGTTTTTTACCCACATTTTGCTCCACTTCATAGGAAGTTGTCTTCTTATAATTGATATCGGAGTCTTCTGAGAACAGGTCTGCAAGTGTTGTTCTTCTTCTCTTCTTTCCTTGATCGCTGTCTTTGCTGCCTATCTCAAATCTGAGTTCATTAGAGGAACCAACAAATGGAGTTAATGGGACACCATCAAGGGTTATTATCACATCATGACGTTTCTCAACATTTCCATCACCATCAGATGCAATGTCCTTAAAATTGTGTCCAAATGTTGTGAAAATCAATGGGTTCACTTCTTCATCTTCAACAACAATGTCGTTGTCTTCATCAAAATCATCATCATTGTTAATTAAATCATTTTCACCTTCCTCCTCTTCTGCCTCACTTTCGAAAATAAAATATTCTTTTGGTTGGTCGAATGGTTTTAGAGAATCAAAACCAAAAGTCCCAATTGTTAGAATTCCATCTTTCCAGCCATCAAGCACATCCACCAGGGCTACTTGTTCCAGTAATGCTTTCGTGTTGGTGTCAATCGCAATGGATTCAGTCTTCTTCACATTTCGAGCAAACCCATCTGCCCAAAACAACAAATTTCCCGTCCATATGTATACTATTAGTTCGCATCAACATTTGTCAAAATGTGTACCCACAAAAATGCAGTCAAATCGTGTTAAGGAGTTTTAGCAGACCAATATATATAATTACTCAAAAACAAATTACTTCATTATAATTGGAGGCAAGTGATGGAGGGCTAGAAAACCACTCAGCTGCAATAAAGCAAGCAAGATTTATGCACTACAATAAAAAAAAAGGGATTTGCATACATTAATTACTAGTTATGAAACTCAACCGCTTTAAGAAATTTGGTCAAAAATAAAACATTAGTTGGATGACAAACTTTAACGTGACTATATAACTTCAAAGGCATCAAATTCGAACCTTTAATGACGTTATGATTAAACTTCCTGTGCACCCAATTGAAGATCTGTTGTGAAGATAAAAAAAAAAGAAAAACACCAATTGATATGTTAAGCCAAAAAAATAGTAAGAGATAAGTAAAATATGTAAGAGATTATGATAATGAAAATGAGAGTCGACCTTCATTTTCTCAGCCAAAGTGTTTGGCAAGTAAAACTGGCACAAGGGATAAGTGAAGTGAGGGTGTGAGAGTGAGTGGGAAATGATCATGGAGAAGAAGTAAAAGCACTAAAGCAGGGGCCAAAATAATAGAAGAATATGTAGCTGACACGCGTCAATGAGAGTGGGGTCTTTCAATGGAACTATGTTTTGGGTGTGCATGGGATGTTTTGAGGGGGCACTATGTTGGGTCTGTCTGGAATGATCGATGTTCCGAAATTCTCGAAATGATGCTCTCTGGTTTTTTCACATAAATGCAGTTAAAGACTTTTATATTTTTTCTTCCTTTCCAGTTATCCATTTTTTAGCACTTGGCATTCTTCTCCATTTTTTCTTTCACTTATTCATGATTCTATATCATCAATTTAATTTGTAATTTTAGAAAACATTAATATCCATATTTATAGTACAATTTTATGATTTAGGGTTTGAATGACCTGGTTTTCATCAAATTTCTTCAGAAAATAAATATCTATACTCGACGACACAGCATGTTTAAGTTAATCCTTCCAAAAAAAAAAACAACAAAGCAAGATTTTTTTTTTTTTTTTGCTTCTTCTTTGCAAATTTGTAATAAGAACCAACTTTTAGATAGGTTCATTGTATAAGACCAATGAAAACAGTTGGTTAGTCTATTCTTTCACCTTTCTGTGGCATTGAGAATAGGCGTGCGTGATATTAATGCCAATACTAAATATCTCGATAATCTCAGACCACCTTGCGAATCTTGAAATCGGTTTTTATGAAAAATGAGAACTGCATCTCTCATTTATACCATATCCTATAAATAAAGAGTTGATAGGATATATAATTTGACGATGTCTGGTTACTAATTAGATTGATTGAAATAAAAATGTCAAAAATAAGTTAATCTTTGTCATTGAGATAATGCTTAATTAATTATTAGCAAGGGAGTTTATTAATCTATTTTCTTCTCAATGAACCCTTTAGGCCTTTACCCTTGTTGCCAGTTCATATTCCACCCAGAGGAAAAAGTAATCGGTCTCCTTTGACTGGGCTTCCTCATTACAGGCCTGAACCTTTAATTAACCTAATTCTACAAATAATTATCTCGTCCCTTTGCCCCCAACATTATTGTTAAGGAAAATATTATCTTTATAAAAACTCATACAAAGAAAATTATAAAGCGACATTATTTAGAAAAAGAAACAAAAGAAAAAACAAAAAAAGAAAAAAAGAGAGAGAAAAATCGTGAAAACTAAGAGTGGAGATTATCTTTGTATACCTCTTTTATATGTGTCGTTGTAAAATTAGCATTGCTCTATTGTTAATGTCTTGCTTCAGCTTCTTCCTAACGCTCAGCAGTATAAGAATTCGCTCTCCGATTAAACTACGAGTCTTGCGGTACCAGAGAGAAATTAGGTAAGAATAGAATCGGTAGGGACTACATGCAGCGAATGTTGGTTTGTAAACGATTTGGTTGGAATTATAGCAGTGTTGGATCATTGGATACTAAATTGTACTGGGACTGGAATTTGTTTTTAAATTTTTGACTTGGAGCAACTGTAACATGTGCTCCTTATCTTTTTGTTGGTTGGGTACAAAGCAAATTTGCTTTGCTCTCCTGTGCTTTCCGGTCGTGACATGTGGAAGAACAACAAGCTAATAAGTTTCCCTAATCAGATATTCAAAGGTAGAATGTTCAATGAAAATGAAAGCTTAATTAGCTGGAAGGAATAGGTTAACTTTTAAGAAGAGGAAACAGATACAAGACCCGGTGTTTGTTCATAGCTAGTGCTGTTATTTGATACGTAGCAAGTTGTCTGGATATAACTAAAAGCCTAAAGCTAATGAAGGGGCTGAGAATGAAAGTGTCTGGGTCTTGTTTTGGTGCTTTAATACAGATACCATCACCTCCAACTCTCACAATCCCATAGAAGATGCTTTGGATTCAGAGATGTGGGGACTTGCTTGTTCCGACTAGTGGGTCAGTTTTGGTCCCTCCTCATTAGTCATTACAACCAAGCCTTTCTTTTATGAGTGGCAACAAAAGCAAAGTTGAAGAAAGTGGAAGTAACAAGTTCTTCTACTTCACACGTAAACTTGATAGTGCACGATAAAATTTCCTTCACCTGAAAAAATAAGAAGAAATTTAATTTGTAAGGTCCATGTTGCACTAGAAAAGTGCTTTAAGGCTTTAAGCTTTAAGAGCTACCTGATGCTTTTTTATGTTTCTAGTTTAATGTGATCCCACTCAGGTGACTTTCAATAATAATTAGCACTTTATTCTTTATTTGTAATAATTGATGCTAATTGTATGTATACTGATACAATTGCTTGTACGTACATTAATTGTAAATTAAGATGATTTTTTTCGAAGGATTGTGTAATTCTGAAATCTATTTATAGAGAAGGGTTAGATTATAGTAACATAAATAAATATTTGACATTATTTACATACTTCTTATGAATTATAACACTTTGATGACTGAAAGACAAGGCTTGTAGACAGTAGAGGGAAATGAACAGATCCACCATACACTTCATAGCTTTTAATGCTAGCCAAGTTCATTTCTGGGTTTGAATGAAATTATTTGTATTTGGTCAAAAAGACATGAGACCCATATTCTCATGTCTTGGGGACTACATGTCAAGATCCTGTTTAGTTTTACAGTCGTTTGCTGCATTATTATATGTCACAATACAGATACAGAACGATTCACAGCCAGAGACTCTTAAGAGGCGACGCTTTCAATAGATGTAATCCAATGAACATGCTAAACTTTTATTAGAACACCAAATACCCACTTAAAAGTTCGATAGTATTAGCTTGTGGGGGGGTTGGTACAAGATGCATCATCCTATTGACTCATTTCTGCTGAGAGAATCTAATGGGATCCACGTTTTCTATAAAAAGAATTAAAGTTAGAACTACTTTTAAGATGAATAACAGAATAGGGCAGTCGTTTTCCCTTTTGAGTCCTCACCAACAAGGCGTTAAGTAACCAGGTCAAATCTTCAAACAGAAGGGGCCATCCTTTAGGCCTATGTATACGATAGACCAGAAGTTGGCTAGACAAGTGAAGCCCAGATTTTACTCCCTTTGTTTCTCTGTTTTGGACTAAAAATAAGTAAATTGGGTTAGTGAGCTTCAAGCCCATTAAAGAACAAATTACAGAGAAATCTCTGACTCAGAAATTTCTGTCTTTTAAACTGATAAGAACAGAAGCTCTGTTATGAAACTCTCTAACCATACACCATGTGAAGTAGCCTCAAAACAGGAAACGAACTTAGCTTCCATAGTGGAAGTAGCAATTGAGGACTACTTAACACTTCTCCCAGATACAACTCCACTAGCCATTATGAAAACATATCCTAATATTGATTTGCATGAATCAACACAGCCAACAAAGTCTGAATCTAAATAGCTGATCACTTCCAGATTGTCCGTCTGTCTATACATAAGCATGTAGTTTTTGGTTCATTGAAGGCACCTCATCATTTTCTTTGCAGTTCTCCAATAGTCTATACTTGGATTACTCTAATATCGTCCCAACATTGCAACAGTAAATGCAATGTCAGGCCTTGTACAGACCTAAGCATACATCAGTCTTCTGACTATAGAAGCATATAGAATGTTCTTCATTTGTTTCCTTTCAAAATCGTTCTTCAGGCATTGGTTCAAATTGAACTTATCACCCTTCACAACAGAAACCACACTTGGTGAACAATCTTTCATTCGAAATCTCTCTAAAACCTTATTGATATAAGTTTATTGAGACAGACCTAAGATACCTCGTAATCTATATCTATGGATCTTTATGCCAATGACATAAGATGTCTCACCCATATCCTTCATGTCAAAATTTTTAGAGAGGAATTGTTTTACCTCATGAAGCAAACCCTTATCATTGGTTGCAAGCAAAATGTCATCTAAGTACAAAACAAGAAAACATATCTTACTCCCACTGACTTTCTGGTATATACATTATGGGGTTTTCAACAAATCCGAATAAAGAAATTACTCCATGAAATTTAAAATACCATTGACAGGATGCTTGTTTTAGACCGTATATGGATTTCTTAAGCTTACAGACCAAGTGCTCACCATCACTAGAGGGAAATCTTTTAGGTTGTTTCTCTTGCCCTCTCAAAGATATCTCTTGGGCATACTTTGGCTCTCTTCAATTGCCTCTCTTGTCCTCTCAATTCTGACATGGTATTAGAGCATCCAGGTTTAAGATAGTGAGTAGCTATTTATATGGATATATGTATATCTAGGAAAATTCTGTCAACAAGACGATAAATGACTAAAGAGGCTGGGTTTTAAGTGGGACCATTTGTGACCCCTCCAGTGTTTCCCTGGAATTTTCCTAATGCAAATTGAAACATTTTCAACTTTTACTACTATCCTGGGTTATTGAGTTGTTCCACTAATCAACCCACTCTAGCCTCAAGTTCTACTTCAACCTGCAAGATATATAGGCACTCGGGTTAGACAACTTCTTACATAATCAAGCTTCCGCTAATCAGTCCACTCTAATCTAATGGCAGACAATATTCACATCCACTATGCAAGCTTGAAGTTTATGACTTATACAAACCACAAGCTTGAGGGGGAGTGTTGACATGCGAATATGAGAAGAAAATATGTGACATTAATTCACATATTATCTAGACATGGAATCAGAATATGTGAATTATTCTCATTCTTAATTATGCTAAAATATGATTTTGTTTACTTTATTATTGAGATCGTATCATTATTTGTAATATTTTATATCCTTACATAGCTATCACATTTTTGTATAAATAGGTTGCGTATTCACAACTCAAATTGAACAACTCAATACAATTCAATAAAATTTATTTAAAAAAAAAAAAATCATGATAGAATTTAAGGTGGGCCTGACTCCTCACCCAATAAGGTTTTGTTGAATGAGAGGATTACCCCTTCTTATAAACTAGTAGGATTGAGCGTGCCTAGTTGGCGTGAGACTCCAACACTCTCCCTCACGCTCAAGCCTACTGGTTTACAAGAGAGGATAATCCTCTCATTCAACAAGACTTTATTGGGTGATGA